ATGACTCAGAGACTTGGCGCGTCACGAAAGGCATTTCCAATAAACTACAGACATTCATCAACAACTGCCTACGTTGGCTCGCTACTGAAGATCAGATGGCCAGAATAGTGAGAATAAGCAACAAGGAGCTCTGGGAACGTACCAACCAAGAACCTATCGCTCAACAAATATGCAGTGGAAGGAAGTGGAGATGGATTGGCCATGCACTGAGAAGGCCGACTGGGGACATCACGTGTCAGGCCCTGGAGTGGAACCCCGATGGGAAGCGACGAGTTGGACGTCCAAGGGTGAGATGGAGGAGATCGTGCCATGAGGAAATGAGAGGTTGTGGGCTGTCGTGGAACCAGGTTCAAAAGATCTCAGAGAACAGAGTTCACTGGAGACGTGCTACTGAAGCCCTATGTTCCACTAGGAACCCAAGGGACTAATAATAATAATAATAATATAATGAATGTACAGCTTGAGAGTAAGTTCATTGAAAAGAATCCCCTTCGTTTAATGTCTTGTTTTTGGTGTCACAATGAGAACTATGAATGTATAAACTGATAATGTCAACATGGTGCAACCCATCTGCTGGGCTTCTTGAACTTTAGACTACCAATATTTCGAACCGAACACAGACGTCAAATTCTTCAATTTGTGCGACGTACTCTTTCATAGTTTTAAAACACTTTCAACTAACTATTTCTCAAGTAGATAACAAAACGAAGAAAAAACGTGAAATTCAATGGAAATGGGCTTTTCGTTGTGAGATAATTTATCATATTTCCACTCGCTGAACGCTTAGCTCGAATGGCAGATTCTTGTATCGGCTGAATGAAATGTCACCATCTAACTTGCTCTCGATTATTTGTAGATCCTCAATTCTAGATCAAAAACTAATCCAACACCAGCTGACTGTTTAACATTATTGCCTTTAATAGTGATATTACTAACATTACTCGGATACAGTCATCATTTCGTTAAAATATATTGTTCTGCTGGTGTGCTTGCTGGGGATTCCACACTATATAACATATATTGTCCGAAATAAAGCGACAATAATGATTATAATTATTTTTATTAGCAGTAGTACAGGCAGAATCAGGAAGTCTACGTTTGGACTGTGCACCTATAATTGGCCGACTGTAGAAGATCAGACATAACTTTACAGTATTGGATATTCTTTGACAAACTGTTCTCAGATGTTGCGTTACAATCTGACCGATGATTTCACCTTTGAATTTGTTTCGAAAAGCAGGTTTCTCAGAGACTGCGATCACCTCCTATTTAGCTTTCATCTCCTTCATGCGCTTGGAAACACATTTGGGAGGGTATGCATCTTTGTTAATCAAACTAAATATAATGTCGAGCTCCTGTTTTACTCTGTCATAAAAGCAAATTCATTTTTCTCGATGAATAGACCATTTCACTAAGTTTCTTTTATACTTCAGGAGTATGAAGTTATGCACGTGGCTGAACTGACAAGTCCATGTTGGCTTTCTGCATATACTCCATTTTATCATTCCATTTGCACTTCCAAATAATAAGAGCTCCACAAAAGAAATTCAGTCATTTCGTCTTTCTTCCCTTCTAAATGGGGTTAGCTCTATGATTGCTATCAAGTATATGAAGTATAGTATTCTTTTCAGCCACAACTTGAAGAACTATAAATATATCGTCCACGTAACAATCATACAACAATGACTATTTCTAGGTAAGGCAACGAGAGGATAAGTGTACCCAGTATCTTGTCAAAATTCATCATCAATTATTGGGTCACCGTCTTGAATGCTGTTACACCTACCTCAGTCCATACAATTAGGTATTATCACATAAGTCCCTATAACTCAAGTGTTGTTAACAACCTACTCTATCTTATTGTACGAAGTTGATGAATGCCATTTTCTCTATACGCATATTCACCAAGGGGTATCTGTGATTTTGCTAACCATAACCGAAACTTTCCCTCGGATTATAAGACATGTGGACTAAAATTTGGTGTCCACTGAATACCATCCTTGTTTGATTGGATGGTCAGTTAGAGCTTGAATATATCTTTAAAAAAGTCAGCATTAGCTCATATTTAATCCCTTGCGTATTCATGAACTCATAATGTTAGAAACGCGTTACATTGCCAGGTATTAAGTCTTACACAAGAATAGAACAAACAGTATGATTGCTGTATCTGAATCCTTTGACATGTCAGCTTGTCAACTTTTCTATATAAGGTGGCTTATGAATGATGTTTGTAGACTGGAATTCTAGAAGATAGGACCATAATATTGACCATTTGTTTTAACTTAGTGTTCATCATGGACTGACAATTTGGAGAACTATTGAAAATCTAAGAGTGACGTACAGCTGTTTTGTCCCAGTCTGCGAACCCATATCCCATCAGGGATAGATCCCAGGAAATACAGGTTCCACGGGTATTACTCTCCATTGGACCACCGAGTCGGAATCCAACTGTCCACATTTTTCTACCTGTACCAATTCGGGATATCGCACGGCCTCCATCCAATGCCGTCACTGAGTACCTGTCCTAATGCTCAACTTGGTTGGGCCCACGGGTCACGATTTCTCATCGGAACTTCAGAAATCCCCTCTTTATTTGTTTCAACCTCTCTTCATGTCATCTTATGGCTTCCCACCACACTGAGTAAATTTTTAAGTATTTTATCTTGTTAACTTATACCTTTCTGTTTTGACATGAGGTATGAAAGTAATGTCAGTTGCTACGCTTAACAAAGATAAGTGTCTGACTGAAAAAGCGTCACTTGGACACTAGACATTCAGATAATTGAGCAAGTGTTTTACAAGGCAGAATAATACGGATAACAAAGCTTTCCCAATGTCTAGTTGCCTTTCTTAAGATTTTGAAGCAAAGTGCTTGCCTTTACTCTATTTATTTACCTTTTTTGCTAACTTACAGTTAGTGAGGTGTGTTTTAAGTCCAAATAATTAAAGATTATTCTCCTATGAAATGTGTAACTCAGGTGTCATATGTGGTTTTGTGCAGTAGACAATAAGCCTTATCTTTAGAGTAATAGCTGATGATACTAACTAGGTGTACAAACCTCTGATGCACCGGTCGATAGTCACGTGATTGCACCACTGAGCCACAGCTCTTTGTAATCAAATTCCTATGAAATATATTGAGGTAATTATTACAATTTGCGTATGATAATGTTTCAATATACTTTGTCTGATTTAGAATAATCTGATATTTTTACCTACATTGATTGGTCACTGGAGGGCAACCGATCCCATGCTATTTAGTGATGCCCGAGTCCTGACTGGGTTCTGTCTAGCACTCCGCAATATGGCCACTAAAGTGACCAACTGAATCACGGCAATAATAATAGTAACATTAACGCGATGAGGCACTTGGACTGGATCCGAATAGCAGACCTGCTATTTCACTGAGCTGAGAAATACAGTAGACAATGACCAGCCAATGGCTGTAGGGAAGACAATTCTGTTTCACGAAAAGCACATGATTTATCTGTAGTTTTCCACAGAAAATAAAGTCACTAAGTCCCAAGATGGTTACTTATTTTCATTGATCAGCTGAAGGACAAAATTTTCCAATAAGGTTTTCCTGCCCACACACCAACATGAAACAAGCTCAAAATCCAAAGTTTCTACCTAAGTGGCTGACGATCTAGAATGGTGATATCGATTAAGGCCACTTCTTATCAGCCACCAAGCCGGAAGACTAATCACATTGGTGCACTTTGATGGATGGAAGTATATATCAGGAAGCTGTGCTAGACCTAGGTTCCGTGCTTGTTGGCACTCTTCAGTAAGGCTCATCTGCAACCTCAAGGGAACTGATGTCCTGCTTGAGATTCAAACCTGCATCACCTAGTGTTGCAGTCAGCGGTGTTACCTCTTAGCTATTCGGGTAGCAACTGACCTTCTGAACATAATACGGTTCTAGAGTGGTCAGCTTCCTTTGAGGTTGCACATACACCTTGCTGAAGAGTGCCAACTAGTATGTAACCTAGGTCTAGCAGGCCTTCATGCCAACTGCTTTCGATCAACTAACTGGTACATTTACATTGTGTTAAACAACCGCAATATTTAAAATAAATTCTCTAATATTGCTGATCTTCGTTTTATCGTACATTCTAAACCGTTCCACACTAAGTGGGAAATACTTCAAATTACATGATATTTTTAGTAATCTCCTCATATATGGTATTAGATGTCTTGATAATGTGATAATTTAATAGTTCACTTCAAAACCATTTCATATTATCTTAAGATAAAATACCTTAGTACAGACATCTCATTTCTTCAAGTTCTTATCTTAAGACAAAATAATCTTCGTGTTAACAATTGAGGTACAACAGTAATGATAGACTCTCTATATTTTTCTGCTTTATTTGTGAAGGATGTTGCAAATTTATACTAGGTTCAGTGTTGATTTGTTCGTTTGCCTCAGTTATGGTAGAAAAATAAAGGCAACGCAAGCGCAGCATATATATATATATTATATATATATATATATATATATATATATATATATATATGATATGACATGATATGATGTGATATGACAGAGTGGCAAAATTTCTAAATTTGTATGAGATGATAAGATAAACTCTGAAATAATGAGCTGATACCAGTATTCATCTTTCGATGGGGAATAGCCCAGAGACAGTGGGTAAGCAGTAAGAGGGGTGGGGAGGAGAAGATCTACATCTCTCTGCTGTTCGTAATTGAGGGGGAGGAGAAGGAGAACAACCAGTAGAATCCAAGACGTGCGTTTTGTCTTATTTTGGACATGTCAGTGACATGTACCTGCACCCTATTGAGTGATATTGTTCCTACTTGGACTCGAACCCTTCGGTTCAAAAGCTACGGCGTTACCTATTGGGCTACTGAGACACGACAGCCACCTCTTGTACAACAGGTATCATCACTTTGATCCAGAATAACAACGAGAAATTAAAAGTATCAATCAACAGTAATTATTCGAGGACATTTTAAACACTTGAAGGGATATATTCATAACATTTAAATGCAGATATTCATTCTCCCAGTATAGTTAAACAAGTAAATAAACCAATTGAAAGAAAGTTATTCTCAAACACTAAGTGGAAGATATTAACACATTCTAAATATATATTTTAATTAGTTTCATTTCTTTTTGTTTTCATGTGTAATGAAGATATTTCTTGAACAATATAGAGAACGTGACATATTCACGCAGGCATGTAGACTCACAAACACACATACATACATGTGTAAAACAGTTTTTCTGTTAACATTTCAAATGATTGTCATAGGAATGGTCAGCCAAGAAATTCGTTTGTTGGCAACATCGACTGACGATAAAGGTCGTAGTAATAATTTGCTGGTTTCTGGGGTCGTTTCACTGCAAACCGAATAAAAGAAGTCGGAAATGACAGATATAGTCTGATAAGATATTCAACAAACCAGAATGCATTTTAAACAAAAATCAGTGCAATTTGACGTTCACGGAGGTGTTCATTTTGAGGTGGTATTCATCACGTACTGATATCATTTTCAGAACCATTAGTAACATACTTCCAGATGGGTATCCCGATGTTCTAATGCGAAGCCGTGACCTATGTGGTCAACCAGATGGGAGGAAAGCGGATGCAAGCTGAAGACTTTGGGTGATAATCGCGGTGTATTGTGAACTGATAGAAGTTAGAAACTACGAACCACTGAAAATCAACCCAGTGGCTGAATGGTTAACGTGTTCGCCGTGAAACCTGAAGATCCCTTAAATCAGTCTGAAGCCGGGTTGTGGGTGCGTACTACTAAGGAATCCTATACCATGACGAAACAGCTGTCAAGTGTTCCCAGGTTTTCACTGGTTCTTCAACTGATATCAGTCCGTAATGAATACCACCTCGAAAATCAGTGTGTTGCTGGCACAGAAGTCGAGAAAAACCAAACATTCTTTACATCAACACTGAGAATAGTATTCTCTTGCCACCCAACAATTTCCAACAACTCAAAGGAGAAACTTTCACATCTGACCACTCCTATTTGTAAATATCAATTCACCTACTGTTGTGGAGCCAGGCATATAAGTAATTCTATGAGACTGTTATTCAAACCGGTTCGAGAACACTATTCCACTGGGTTACAAACAGGCAACTACGGAGCGATAAGGGGCACTATAAATGAACACATTGTGGACAAGAATCACCTTATCTCAAGAACCTCCCCTTTCAAAGTCATCTATAAAGTAAAAAGAAACTTTCTTAAGGCTGTATGTTTTCGTGTTCCCAGCACCTCTGAAGCTTTTGGGGGAACCTGAACTGTGTACCGAAAAGAAGATTGTTCAACGCCTTATTCTTTCACAGCCTTAGTTTTCATGCACTAAAATCCCCTCTACCCCACCCCTACCCCCACCTTTCCTTTTCATTTTTCTGTTTCCACACTGTTCACTTCTTAAGTGATTTGCCACTTATTCTTGTTGCTATGAGCTGTCTGATCACATTTTAGTTATCCGATGAGCCACTGGTGCACGATAGCCACCACTTGTACAGCGGGTATTAGTTATTATCATAACAATAAGTATTCAGGCAATAGGGAGGCAACGGGACAGAAGTTCATATGCCGCCAGAGGTAGATTAGTTCGGCTCAGTATAAAAACAGGGAATTACAAGCACCAACAAATATTTGTGTGTGTTCCACGACTCCAGTGCATGGATATATACAAACATGTTATAGCCTATAAGAATGAACAAATATATAAAGTCAATGGTACAACTTAAAGTGTCGTTTCCAGCTGTTTATCCAAAGCTGAAGGGATGTTAAATAAAAAGCGGATAACTGGATGGGAAACAAGTTAGTTGAGTAACAGTGAGTAGGAAAAGCATCCAGTCATGAGATAGAATTGCAGATCTGTGGGCGCGTGCATATGTGTTTTTGAGATGCAAGCAATTACAATGTTCATGATGATGGCACCAATAACGATAACAACAGTCTGCTCACTAAACAGTTTCCAGTTAACGATAAAGCAAGAAAATGTTTAACATTCTGTAAAGTAGATTTTTCATGCATACTAACTAGTCAATATATAGACAACCAATATAGCTGTTAAGTCTTGAGAAGTGATCAGTTAAGCAGTTCCGACGGTATAGTAAGTGTTGGTTACTTGTAATCTGCTATCGTAACATTTTAACCCTAACTAATCTCATGATTACTAATTATTTTATCGTTTATATTCTCACTTAGCCTAATTTCACCGACGAACTACTTTTATAGCCATATTTATCTACAAAACATTCCACTTATTCTGTAGTCTTAATAACAAACACATTGTTATCCAGGGCCTCATTTAGTTACTGGCCATCTTATTCACAGTGAAATATTCAATCTCTACCTATCCAGCTTCTCCCATCGGGTTTCATGTTCTCCCTGTTGAGATGTCAACATCCTATCTATACAACACTACAAACTACCCACTATCTTCACCATTAGACATTACTGATGGAATAAAGTTTGGATAGTATTAAGCTGAAGGGTTTTACAGAAAAGTGTGGATTCATTAAATGCTGATTTCGTTGACTTCATCGTGTGTTTTAACTTTATAATGGAAAAGGGAAGTATTTTTCAAGTCATAAATTTATTAAAGTACACAATGAATTTTAGATTATTGCACATATGTAATTGCTGGTCCAACTTAACCTGATACTGGGGTTTCTGTAAAAGGCTACGAGTCACACCTATTATGCGGACGGTTTACGTTTGTCCAGGCCAGAATCAGTGGAGTAGGCTCTGAATGTAAGACGTTAAGGTCAAATATTAAATGTTTAAGCCAGTCAACTACATCTCTACTACCTGTAGGAAGGCTAAAACAGTGGTGATCAGTACTTATGCCTCACTTATTGTATGATGACATATCTAGTTTCTAATGTTCTTGTGCAATATATTATTCAAGGTGCTATCTCCCTTCAAAGAACATAAAATGTAAGAAGGTAGGTAAATGAGTAACCCCTTCCTCAAAATTTATTTCATGTTATTCTTGAATAGCTCTGCTAATCAGCTTCCTTTGGATCCAACATCTTTTACTGCACTTCCAAATGTTCACAAATAATGGTCAAACGTGTATCATTCTGCTTTTTGTGGCGACAAAATAATACTTGGCTTTTGTGAATTATTGTATGTTGTTATTCGCCAGTAAATATGCTTAAGACACTGTTGAATTACTATCAGTCAGTACAGTTAAGCGTCAGTCTTGTCTTGTTTTGAGGTTAATCACATGCACAGACAGGATTAAAGGTGACATTGAATCATGTGACCTGTTGGATGTCACAAGATTATTTAGATACTTTCGTCAGCAATCGTTGTAATTTGAAATTGATGACTGAAAAACGTTTTCCCTGTTAGCAAATAATTTTACCTGAATTTTCGACAGCTGTTAAAAGTAAAGCCATAATGATCATTTAAAGAGGCGATGGAAAATATGAAATTTCGATGTAGGAGTTACATATCTTTCTGGACCATACCACAGAGGGGTTTATTCACAGGTCAGTTGCCATTGTGTTACTGAGTAGGCTGTATATATGATCATATATTATTACAGCAAAAGTTTGAATTACCTATATGCCGACTTAGAAATGTAAAATATAGACTAACTTCCAAATAATATATATATATATATATATATTTGATTTGAACTTTCTACTATGAACAATACCTTACCTATTTTTAGCAAAGGGATATGTTAGAAATTGAAAGTAGACCGGAAAAACTTCCTTGTGATGAGTCCTTATGTGTCGACAATGTACATGTCACCACAGTTTGCCATAGAATCAATAAGGTAAGAATTCAGTGACTAGGAACAGTCACTAGAAGATGACTATCATCTTAGAACGCCTGTCAACGCTAACAAGAACAGAGTATTTAAACAGTCAAAGAATTTCATCATATATCGGATATTCTGAAACTGAACTTATTCTCTGGCAGCGATATCACTTCCTAAAGATCTCCAACTGCATTCAAACATATCACAAGCACATAGCAGTTTGTTATTGAGTCAGAGGGTACGGTTACGTCATCGAAATGGTATACAAGACTGAAAAAAAGAGTGCAGGACCATGATAAAATAAGAGATAGAACACATTTCCTAGACACGGAGGAATCAGGCTTCATTTGGTGAACTTCTAGGGCTTCTGTTGTGTACAAATGTTCAAAGAGCACTAGTTCTAAACTGTTCTCTTTGACTTTATTCATGATATTGTAAAAGGACTCTAGTGGCTGCAGATGGTCAGAGTTGACCAGGTATTCAAGAAGTTAACTGGCGATTAGTTTCCATTCTCCTCTAGTCAACGACACCAGATGGTTCCATATTAGGTTTGTTTATTTGATATATATATAGCACAGTCACCTGATATTCTCTGTTTTTAGTAGTGAAATTTTTTATATCTCCGGTATAAGTGCTGCTTCATTCCTATTATATGTGTTAGGTTTTGGTTGACTGGATGAACAGAGATTCAGTAATCAATCTCTCTCTCCATCGCCGTCTGTTCTTCGTTTTATTCTAAAATCCAACGTAGTAGTAGACACAATCCAGTTCACTTACGAGGTAGAAAATGAATAAGGAGAATTAGCTATGTTGGATTGTAGAGTAAACCGAAGAACAGACAGTGGTATGGATACTACCCTATACAGAAAACCGACACATTCTAACAGGTATCTAGACTTCAGGTTATCTCATCCAACACTATTTTCATCAGGCTTAGTCAAATGCCTTAATAACAGAGCTAGATAACCAGTCGGTGTGTATACTTAAACAAGGAACTGAAACGCATAAAACAGAGGTTAATAATGAATTACCATCCTCCACAGTTTATTAAGAAACAAGATGATGACAACAATACGAATACTAATAATAGCTATATCACGAGTAGAAATAAGTTGCAATCCTGTATTGTGTACCCATACTAGGAAGGAACATCAGAAACTTTACGTAGGATTCTCAACAAGGCTGAAATTAGGGTGGCATTTAAATCTACAAACTGACTCTAGGACAGGCTTTATCGGCTTAAAGATCCAATAGATCCGACTAAGCAATATCCATACAATGAGGTCAAGTACATAGGTCAAACTTGCTGGTTGGGGATAGTTAAAAGATCAGAACATAGAAATTCAGATCAATATAGAATGACAGACACCAATAAGATCAACAAGCTAGAAAAAACTTGGCTACTGTGGAGCATGCACTAACATACAACCATACAACTGGGTGGGATATAAACCACTGTAGTTTAATATAACTAAGTAGAGAGACAGATTGATTACTGAATCTTTGTTCATCGAATCAACACCCAACAAATGTAATAGAAATGAAGCAACACCTATACCAGAAATATGAAAAATTTTACCACCAATAAAAACAAAGAATAAGAGGTAACAGGACTTTGAAGATCGACTACTGAAAGTGGCGTGATTACAATAACATGATTATGGGCAATAATTTATGCTTGAAACGTCATCAAGTAGATACTACTGTGATACTGTGTGATGTATATCAAATAAACAAATCTAATGTAGAATTATATCCCACCACACTGTCGAAGTTATACCGGATAATATTTGGAGATGTGTTCGGAAAGTGTGTACTATCTTTGACTTACATACATAGCTCGACAGAGGGAAGTAAACCTGTGGGTATCCACTGAAGTGTTTTGAATGGATAGATTATCCGTAACATCCCATGGAAACATTTGCCAATTAGAGAAGTCGGTTTGTAGCTTGGCAGAGAGAAACATGGTTCTCAGTGAAGTGGACAGGTGATTCTTCAATAACTTTACTGCTGTATTAGTTTTGATATCAAAATTTATAAATAAGATCTTAACTACCCACCTTTTTCTAGTTTCCATATAACCAGTTAATTTACTATTATCACCTTCGTTATGATCCTTTTCTCTTTCTTCGCCTCATTTACATCTATGAATTGGATACTCAATCATCACATCTCACAGTAAACAGCAATTTTCACCTTGTCAACTTCTTCACCCTTCTCACTTATCGTTCAACTCTCCTACGATCTTTATTTAGGTCGTGAATACCGATCTGATGATGCAGCTATACCGTTTGCTTAATCATTGATTGCTTTTCACTTGTGACATGTGAAAATGCAGTTCTGGATATTTTGAGAATGATATCGTTCAGAAAAAGAAGTTTTCATCGCCGAATTGACATCGCAGTGACATCACATATGAGTGATTATGATCAACAAAACCTGTTAGTTAAGCGAATGAAACCGGCAGAAAGTTTTCCTTGAACTAGATTTCGTACTTTTTGGAACTCTTCAACAAGGTATATCTGCAACCTCAACGGCAGTGATATCTGGATTTTGCAGGTATGCCTTGGTGATGAGTTCCAAAGCACAAGAAACGTAGTCACGCGGATCCCCATCAGTCAACTTTACCCAGCTAATATCTATCTCAGCGCACTGCGATGGGGGCTGTCCTAGCCTGTTGGCAAATTGTGAAATGTTCTATAGGATTTGGTCAATACTTAGGACTAGGCAATATGAAGTTGGTTACCCTTCAATGGATATTCAGCGTATTCAATCCAGGAGGGCATTTGCAAGCCGAATAGCTCCATTGTAGATTCTTTAACTGCAGCAGTGGGTGAAGCAAGTTTGAATCTCAAGTGGACATGAATTCCTTCGACTTTGGAGATACACGTTGCTAACGGGTGCCAAAAAGCACGAAACCTAGGTTAAGCAGGGCTTTTTGCTGATTATCTCAACCCACCTAGCTCCAAATAAACCACCTAATATAGAGCTTGGGACTAAATTGCCAACTTGTTGAATATAACTAGAATGATCAATTTTAGAATAAAATGCAGAATCTTTGAGATGTGACAAAATTTCCATACCTAAAATAAATATCAAGGTTACTCAGTGTTAGGATGCAAAACAATGTAGTTTTTTCATTTAATGTATATGAAATACTGAGAAATATCAGCAGTAAAAGATTCCATCTGTCAAAAGCTTGTAATAGGTTGAGAGTCTGTCTTCTAGCAACTTTCGACAGTTACAACCGACGCAACAGTTATCTTACGTGATGTTCAACAACGTGACTAAAACTTTTCATTATCAATTTTAGTTACTTGAAAATTATAAGAGTAGTAACATAGACTTTTAAAAATTACCTGTTCCTGGCATCGAAAGCTTTTTAACTGCTGGACTCTGCTCATACATGCGTTTGTACCAAAAATCTCTGTTTAAACTGTGTGGATTCGGATGCATATTGATGAAATCTAGCAAAGGTTCATCTACAAAAAGGTAGTAGAGTGAATTGGAACATATTTGGAAAAACACTTCCGAACTTTAATCTTAGTTATTTAGAGAAATAGTTTACAAGTTTATATGGGTGATGGATGCCAGCTGAAACACCTCTGTTTATCGACGGACACCAATAAGGTGTTTCATTCTGACTTCCTCCTGTCCAGACGTATACATTCATGGTTGGTTATTGAATTCTACACTTTATCTTATAGGTGCATGATAGGCATGCTCACAGCGGAAACGCAGCAGTTCATGAGTTTGTATAAGCTTGAACTGCTCCTATACATTCTCTCCTGAATTTGCAATGCTTCAAAGAATGACAGCATTGAACACAAAATGTCGTTGTCCCTGTGGATCCCTACTTCTCGGTGAAGTTCTCCTATTTCTGCATAGTGAGAAACGTTTGACCCTTATTGGTTTTTTGAGATTATGGAGAATATTTGTAGCTTGAGGGGATGATTTCGATGATGTCATGTTCTCTTTGTTGAATGGTTTATTTGTGAAGCTTTCATTTTAATTCTGAAGTTTTTTCTGGTCACATTTTTTACAATGATAATGAAAGCTTCACTATTAAAATTTTCAGATAAGAACAAACATCATCAAAATCATATTTCCCATTTGACAGGAGAATACGTCTACTAGTAGCCTGTTCAAAAACGGTGCTTGCTGTTTGATGGTGGGAGTCGATTGGCAGGAAACCATGAACCTGACCGTCCTTTTTGGCACTCATATGCAATGGATATGTATAACCATGAAGAAAGTGTTTCCCATCAGCGATTTGAGCCTGCTTCACTAAGCCATGAAGTTATTCCCTATTCTTAGTTATGCACAGTCGCCTGTACACATCAGCTGTAAAGCAACTAACTACAGAGTTCACATGATGATTTTCAGCATTAATGCACTAACGCAAGGTGTTTGTACTGTGCTATTAGAGAATAGTGCTTAGACTATTTGAGATAATCATGGCTTGGAAAACTGGTAATGGTTATCCCATGTAATATTTGAAGGCTAAATCCAAGCCTGAGTTACGGCATGATTCAAGCAAGTGGACTCGAGGTTACTGGTCCGGTGCTCTACTGACTAAACTAGGAGACTGAGCCGCTAACTTGGTTCAATTTTTGGTTCGGTTCCCATTTCCAGGATGATCTTCAGATCTATAGACCTTCCAACACAAATCTGGTGGATCTGTTCCCCCTCAGAGGAGGGGACTTTATAGCAGCTCTTCCACATGAAGATAAACACTCCGTAGCACTCTGCTGATGTTCTCTCAGAGCTCATAGGTGTTATTACAGAATCATCACAATAGTCAGGCTTCGATGCATCCCCACTCGCCGGTTCATCGTACTCGCCTTTCCGGGGTAGAGATGTATGAGAAGTATCTCACGGAATCTTCACAGTCTTGCAGAACGAAATGCAGCTCACCTTCCCAAATCAACTTTCCAGCAAGTGACCTGTCTCATGAACTAATGATGCTGACCGATTCTCATTGGTGGCTTCTTTTGGGCTGCTGATAAACAGTTAAGTTTAGGGCGAGCGACATCTGGAGTTCTGGATGGAATACCACTCACCTTTGTATCGCGAACCGAACCCCGTCTCTGCCCGTCAAGGGGACTGCAGAAATTAGAAAGCCAGATTCCATTATCTTTCGGTTGCACTCCTCTCAACAAACTGAGCGAAATCCTAATGGTTAGCTAGGGAAACTTAGGCTTCTGATCCACGCACACAGATTTCATTGGACATGTTTACTGTTTAGTCGATTCTCATGTGGTGTTGGTTGATATCCAACGTGGAGGCTTTGTCGTTGCGTAACCAGGTCCAACCCCTTAACACTAATGCTTACATCATCTTGAGTTTCCCAGGCCAGCAGCACAAACACACACCACTTAACGGCACTACATAAAGCTTCTTCACGTCGACGTCCCGACACGTAACCACGGCGGTGTTTAGTCACCTCCTGGGAGATATAGTTGCTCCCCCAAACTGAGGTGAGATACGTGACTGTCAAGTAGGTCTTAAATGCGTTTCACTCTTTCTTTATCCAATTTTACGCTCTGGCACTCCAACACGTTTCATTTCTTCTCTACGTCTGGTAGGTTTAATCCATCCGAATTTCATAACTCAAGTGAATTTAATTCCTTTTTAAATTCATTCTCAACCAATCAGCACTTTACAATGCACTTTGGTTCACCATTTACTTTGATTAACAACTCTTTGAGATAAGTGATTTCGATCTTTAAATGTTACATCAGACATACAATCACTGATATAATTATTATTGATACTAATTAATAATAAACGTCACGATATTTCATTATTCATATCAATGTACGTGGACAACTTGATTTAAAAAAATGTAAATAAAACACAAAGAATATGAGAGAAATCAGATCAGTCAGCGATCATAAGATATTTGGACAGAGACTCAATCTATCCACTAATAGGAAAAATGATAAATGACTATAAGGTCAGAGGTTAGGTAGAGAAAATGCCAATAAGAAAATCTATGCAGTCAGTGACATAACAATAAAGGGAAACAACCAATCATGAACCACTATTTCAGGGCAAGTTACTGAATGACTCAGTGAGAAATGCTTGTAGTTCATTATACATATTGATTTTAGTGCTACTGTTGATATTGTCTAGAGAGACAATAAACACTCCACAATTAAACCACCCAGATCAGACAACGCAACACCATCAAGACTGTTTTGATTTACGCTAACGAAAGTCAGGTAGATAAGCCACTCCTCAAACAAATTATGACAAAGGACTAACTATCAGTGTCTATCTGACTGCTATAAATTATGATTAGGTGAAAGTTACTTTATCAAATAAGCTCACATTGAAAAGCACTAGAATAGATTTCTACCTTTACAAAAGCATATGTTCAACACTCACTAAAGGCATCGGAGTACATAGTACAGTTTGACGATAGTTTCAACATTCGCTTTGACATCAGTATTTTGTTAGCGGTTAGGTTAACCTGCATACCTGACTGCCATTTACTTATCTAAAGTATATGATGCATCTACTCATTGTTTTTCCTACGTATAGAATAGGACAGAATATAACTCAGTGTTCTCTAGAATGCTTGAAACTCTTGTTCTTCACGGTGATCCTCTGCCACCTTCATTTATTGTTGGGAGTATATGAGATAGCCGTGGTTTGGTGAACTGGTGGGATTGATATGCGGAGTAAAATTAGAAGTGGAACAAAAACACAGGATGTGACAAGATTCTAACCAGTGGCCTCTGTACTAGCGCTTCGACGCTCTGCACCTCATGCCGTCCTGTCCTGCTAAATAGCTGTGAGAGATAGCTGTTAAAACTAGATTATATGGAGAGACCACAGGTTTTTGACCATCAGTGTCTTCGTAGCTTTGTTCATGAATGGTGGAGACACCGTATTAGGATTGTCGAGGTGGGGCTAAGGGTACTAGGCAAGACAAACAAGCCGACTGAAGAGGTTGGGAAACTTCATTAGCTGAGGTGGCTTGGACATGCCTTGCATATGCCGAATCACTGCCTACCTCAAAGTGAAATGCTCGGAGAAGTTGGACTAGGTTAAAAGGGTTCAGGATGACTAGATTAAGACATGACAAAAGTTGGTCTAAGAAGTGTAGGGATGTTTAGACTACCTTGTCGGGACCCATGAGATTAGTGGTTGACGACTGTTGGTGATATGAATGAAAACCGGTCAAAATGGAGCAGATGTACTCACTCTTTGGTTTCTTCCAAAGCTTGAATTTTTTATTAACCTTAATTTTTAAATCTCCTTTCCCGACTTACATCGTTGCTTACTTTGATATCACTCTCTTTTTATCTACTTATTCTTTGCATGCTGTTGTGAAGTGTGGGAAGTTGAACTGAAGCACATGCTTGTGAGCTTCTACGTTGGTTTTGTCTTTTTTCATGTCTGAACTAAAAGACGCAGCTACTAATCAGGTCTCAGCTGGCAGAACACCAGATTGGTAATCTGAAGGCCACTTGTTTGAACTCCGCCACTACTCACGTCTGCATTTCGCACTTAATCATCACCCCTCATCTCTTTTGGCTCAAGGAGATGTTTTTGGAGTTGGAAAGTTGGGGATTCTTACCAGCTTCCATCACATATAACTGTTCATAATGTGAGTATAATAACTTGGATCATCATTTCGCTTGGTAGTCAATAAAATATACCTTATTGTACTAAAAGAAATCAGAATCTACAAACCGTTGCACATTCATATGTGCACAATAACTTACCATATTCATACCTGACTGGATTGCAAGTGGCCAGTAGATTGGGAAATGTCATTACTGCAAGTACAGTAAAATATAGTTTCATACTCAGCATGGTTATTCAGTTTACTATGATTCTGTAACTGAAAGGACACAAAACAACTCAATGATGATATATTTCAATAGTTTTTGAGTCTCGAATTCATGTTTCCAATCAAATTACTCAAAATGTATAATTTACAATATGTAAAGCTACAAAGGCACATTTAAACTTTACTTGTTTTTTGTTCATACTTACATACGCACAGTCTCTGAAGTTATGAACCATCAAAGACTCACTCGGCGCATGACAAGCAACCATTTACTTCTATGTGCGATGTCAGCCAAAGTAGAATTTAGTTAGAAGAAAGCCTATGGTGATCAGATCAAAATGAGCAAAAATTCATAAAATCTCTGATTAGTGGTTTAACATTTGTAAAAAAAGACTACCCAGTAGGAGTCCTCGCTGGATCACGCACAAACTGTGAGGAACAAGAAGATAGTCATACGCTGGTTGGACCGATGAAAGGACCACAGAAGAAGATTTGGATTTCGCCAGCAATGATGATTTATGTCTGATGTCACACGAACTCGAAGATCTACAGGTGAAAACCAGCAAGTTAACAGAAGAGGCAGGCAGCGAAGACAGGACTTCAAGTGAACATAGAGAAGACAGAGGTGGTGAAGATACCCAACCAACAACAAGCACCAATCACCATCAATGGGAGGTATTCAAAAGAAGTTATCTCCTTCACCTGCCTACCTGCCTACCTACCTACCTACCTACCTACCTACCTAGGCAGCATTGTTTCAACTACATGCGGCACAGGCATGGATTAGGACGTCAAAGACAGGATCAGAAAGACAGCAAGACAGGCCTTCATTCATTAGCCTGAAATCAGTGTAGAGATTTACTGCACTGCACTGCACTCAGCATAAAGCCTGAACAACATCCGGATTTTCAATACTGATGTCAGTCAAGTCAGTGCTTATATGTGACGGTTGAGAGAGTTGGCGCGTCACGAAGAGCATTTCCAACAAACTGAAGATATATATCAACAGCTGCCGCCTACGCTCCCTCGTTCGATAATGAAGATCAGATGGCCAGAATGATAAGAATAAGCAACAAGGAACTCTGGCTGGCTGACAACGAACCAACCAGCAACCTATCGCCCAACAAATATACAGAAGAAAGGAGAAGAAGAAAGTGAAGATGGATTGGATTGGGCATACACTGAGAAGCCGGTCTGGGCACATCACGCGCCTGGCCGGGTAGCCGAGTGGAACCCACACAGGAAACAATGAGTTGGGGTGACATGGAGGAGATGGTGTGTGGAAGAAATGATAGCCTTTTGGCAGTTGTAGAGTCAGGTTGAAAAGACTACAGAGAAGAGTGTGAAATGGAGACGCGCTACTGAAGCCGTATGTTCCACTAGGAACCCATGGGACAAATAATAATAATCATCATTCCTATTCCAACCATCACTGCATGTTAAGGTATGTAGCGTAAGAATATGTCTCAGAGACCTGTGATCAGTTCAGGCTTACACATTCATCTACTAAATTGCTTTCCCTATGAAATGATTATGCGTCTAACTTCAGAATTACAGACTAGGTGGCTCCACTATACTTCACTTTTCAAAGACACACATGATCGGGGACCTTCAAACATTTCACAACTACTAGCTTTGGTTGGTGTGATTTTCCAAAAACGTAAGCTGATGGAAATAACCGATAAGTGTATTATTTTGAAACCAGATGTCGGTATAGATTAGAAAATATCCTCAGTTTTCAGCTCAAAAACTTTAAAATCCGTTCATCTATTCAATGTTCCAATATAGTCTGGGAGAAATATAATATTTGTGCACTGTATTGCTATCAGTGCATCACTGACAGCTTATCATGAATACTTGAGTCGCTGAGAGATTTTAAATGGAGTTCTTAATTGAGATAAAGTAGTTATTAAGGGTTCTCTTTGAAGTCGGACAGTACAAGGAATATGGGGCCTTAGAAAGTGTGCATATGCTTTGGAAATTAACAAGAGATGGAGATCTGTTCAGCTTAATGGCTAGTGTTGAAACTTTTCTGGTTATTATAAAAGGTCTATTCTTGAATTTTATTTAGGCATCTGATAAATGTATACCTTAGATAATCTGAGACTAAATTCGCCCGTATGATTTTGAAATGGTGCAGAATGTTTGTAGCTCAGGTGGATAAACTCGGTTGTATTGTGTTCTCTGAGCTGGGAGGTTTAATCTCAAAGCTTTCACTGTCTTTCTAGATAACATCAGCAGCAGCATTAAATCCAGTATAAGTTATGAGCTATCAGCGTTTCTCCCTCAGTGATTCAGTAGCTTGCACTGACAAACTGGTTTATGATTGATTGTTTCTTTTGATTATTGTGTTGTCGACAGTATGGATTTTCCTGTTGACTGTTTCTTTGCCTGACTTCCAAACTTACTGTTGTTTAACATTTTTTTTCTAGATTGGCAACAATCCAACAACACACAAAATTAGTTGTGTGCAGACTCTATTCAAAAGAGCGAGAACAGACTGCAGTACAACAACTTAACTGGGGGAATGAAGAACATTTTTTATGTCTATTCTGAAGAGGAAAATTTATCATAAGATGCCTATCCCATTCATCATCAACCACATAGTCATAGACAGAAATCAACAAAGGCATTATCCTACCGTACATAAAGAATGTATCAGAAATCGTGACAAGATTACTGAGACCACTCGTAATTGATGTGACTTATAAGTCGAAAAATTTCCTTCAAATCGTATTATGCAGACCAAATAATGCAACAGCCAAAGAAGACAAACCAAGTATCACTTACTAAACAAGCTGCAATAATCTTGATCAAGATTACATTGGACTAAGTTGTCGCCTTCTTCGTGTTCGTCTGCATGAACACCAGTTAGCTATTAAACCTCACGACAGTTCATCGCTCATTTCAATGCACGTGGAAAACTATGGACATGAATTCAATTTTGAAAATGTAGAAATATCTGACAGAGGAAATACAAAGATTATTCGAGAATTCTTAGAAGCTTGCCATTCAGGTAAGTCAGCAATCGATAGATGCATAGACATAGACCCAATCTATCGATCAACAAGAAAAATGATAAAAACTAGAAAGGTCAGTGATCAAATAAAGGAACAGCCAACAAAAAAATCTATGCAGTCGATGGCATAACAACCAAAGGAAACAACCAACTGCAAACTACTTTGTCGGGGCAAGCTACTGAATCATTCACGGAGAGACATAGACAGCTCACTTCAGATCAAAGTTAGTGCTGCTGATGATGTTGTCTAGAAAAACAATGAAAGCTTCAGGATTAAACCATCCAAATCAGAGAACACAACGCAACCAAGCCGCTTTCTAGTTACTCTGTTTGTCTGGCTAGCAATTCCTCATAATAGAGCTTAGATATTTTTGAATGCAAGTATTCGTGTATGCCAGCGAGCTACAGAATTCTCTACAACTTTGATACGAACTGTAGGATAAGTGTAACTATCGTATTAAAATGGTGAGGCAAGATTTTCGGATAGACAATCCCCAGCTGTAAGGTGTCTAAATTCACATTTAAAATTATTTATTCTGTATATTTTTTTCTGAACTGTTTTGAGCGCTTATCATTTACCTGTCTTACAAAGCATAATCTTACTTACCATCAAGAATTTCAAACTAATCACCTAAATGTGCTTAAATAGCTGCCTACTATTAATATCATTATTATTGTTATTATTATTAATTCCGAATGCTTTCTTCGTGTTTTGTATTTGTTGCAAGGTCTATTGTTCATAACCAATAAGAATATTTTGAGTCGATTAACATTTAAGCTACCTTGACTCTTTATCCCTTTCTGATGAAGCCAAATAGATTAACTGACTTTATAAAAGCCTTCAGTTGCAGCTCGGTTACAGCTTGAACAGCTGATTTCACGACAGACAGAAGTTGACGCTGAATTGTATCGATTTGAGAATCACTTCTATACTTTAGTTCATCGCCAGTTAAATCTTTGATGAATATAGACAGGATATAGTCTTTTTGCAAATGACTATCAAAAACTGTCTAGTTGTATTCACTCTGTCACACTTAATCGATCACAGATGGACTTGTATCAAAGCCAATCACAAGTGGATATGTTTTAATTCAATTTGTAGGTTTGCGAGGATCTGCTCGTTTCAAGTTTGCATTCATCACAGACTGACATCATTCAGGAAACCAACAAAACTCGGAAGCACTACACAGCAGTTCCGTCCTAGTATAGAACGCTACAGCACTATGTACCCAACACCCCCCCCCCAAGAAATCGAACCTAGCACCTTCGAGTTTAGCAGCGAGCACCGATCCAGTATCTTGGTATCAAAATGTCCCCTTATTTTCCTACTTCTGTCAATTCGTGACATAGCGAAACCTTCATCCGATGAATTTATTATAACCCAGTCTCTAGTTGTTATTTGCATACCTTCAAAGCAACTTGCCAACCCAGAATATTTCAGGTAATCTGGCTGGCAAATGAAGCCTGGTATATCACTCACTTGAATGACAATTAGAACAAGCTCTCATTGAGTGAAAATAAATTGAAATGTGGTCATACAACTGAGTATCGCCGCTCAGTCAATAGAATACTGCTGGACACTAGTAGAAATTCTGCCATGACCCAGATCTTCCTCCAGCTCAACCACCCTCCATTCGCATTAAGAACAGTCTGCCAGTAAAAATGTTTAAACTTTCCAATCGAAAATAAACAAATGGCTTACACAGTTTATATGTAATGTCTTCTGATTCCATGATTTGATGATGAAATGCAATATTGAAATACCGTCGAAGGGAAAACGTTAAGATAATAATTGATGCTGTAATTTGTAGCTGATTGGATTACCTTCTTGTTTTTGACCCAATACGTGCTAGGTTCACTGTCCAACGGGAACAGCATTAGTCACTGAGAAACAGGTAAATTCAATTGAAGAGTCCCCAACAGAGAAGAACGAGCATCTTAGAACTGATCTCTGGCTTACAACAATATTTTTTACCTTCTGTATACTTCTAAAGGTTTCGTTCATCACAAAGTTTTAACACGCAAAATATTA